CCCCACACACATCTGGTTCTTCCTGCCTCTCTAGCCCAGTCTCTCTATTCTCCACCACTCCCGCTGTTAGCTGTTAGCTCCAGCTAGTCCTTCAGGCTCCTTCCTGCCCCAGGGCCCACCACCTTGCTGGATAGCTGAAGTGTCATTTCCTCAGAGAAACTTGCTCTGACCCCCAGGCTCCATCAGATCCCCGTTATACACAGTCAGAGCACTTTACTCCTTTCCTCCCTGTTCCTGCATGTTTGTAATGAATACTTCTGCAGTTATTTACTTAGTGCTTTGTTTATAGTCCCCACTCCGCCTGCCCTCCCCCCAGCCTACAAGCTTCTTGGAGGCATCACCGAGTCTGCGTCTAGCATTCCAAGTGCAGCCCCTGGTGTGTCTAGATGCTTAATAAATGCTTGTTTGAATGCCCAACAAACTTACCACTTCTATTTCTGATAGTCCTTATTTTCACTTACCAGCTCCTAACTCTGTAAACATCAGTAGGAAACTAACCACTCAGGCTGGCCCCAGGCCCTGGATCCCTTTTGCTTATTTATCTAACCTTCTCTGGCTTGTTTTGGTAAAGAGAGATCCGACAGAATGCAGAGGTGCTTGGAATTTTTCAACCTGCTCTTTCTCTTGGGGATTTGTAGGATTTTGCTTCATACTCGATGTTCAAGATCTGAGACCCACGTTCAAGCCAGGGGGAAAAGCTCCCCGTCCCCATCGCCACCCTGTTTTGCTCAGTTGTCTCACTCCTGGAAGCTCCCATCTCTAGATCTCTCAGTGCCCGCCCCTGAAGCCCCCTTCTCTTCCTTCAGTCACCTGGGCTGGGACTACCTCCCAACACCATCAATCAAGCCAAGCCTGTTGGCTTCCTGAGATGCCTCGGCCGCTCCACCCTCTGGGACCTGCTGGACCAGTGCTCCTGGAACTCTTGACCCCCATCCCTCCAGGCCTCCTATGCCTGACACCACCCGGCCCTTCACTGCCCAGGTGTCACCTCCTTCCTCCATCCAGACACAGACTCTCTCGCTTTTCCTCTCTCCTAATCCTTTCCACCTATGCCCTCTGGAATCTCTGAACTGCGGGGAACAAATCCCCCCTCATTCTCTTTCTTTCATTCTGCATTTAAAAAATTAATTGAGTTATAATTCAATACCGTAAAATTTACCGTTTTAACGTGTACAATTCAGTGTTTTTAGTACAAAAGTCACTCAAGATTGTGTCACCATCATCACTGTCTAATTCTGGAGCATCTTCATCACCCAAAATAGGCTCCAAAGAACTCATTAGCAGTTATTCTCCACTCCTTCCTCCCCCAGGCCCTGGGAACCACTAATCTACTTTCTGTTTCCATGGATTTGCCGATTCTGAACATTTCATATAAATGGAATCGTACTGTCTGTGGCCTTTTGTGCCTGGCTTCTTTCACTTAGCATAATGTTTTCAAAGTTCACCCACATTGTAGCATGTATCAGTACTTCTTTCCTTTTTTTTTGCCAAATGTATTTCACAAAACTTAAGTAGAAAAAACACACAGCCTGTATATTTATCCACTTATTTGCCATTTATAGTGCTGTGCAATCTTTCTGATAGAGGCAAGTTTCCCACTAATATCAATTTTTTCTGCAGCCTTGTAGTTTTTTTTTTTTTTTTTTTTAGCAAATCTTGTAGTGCAGGCTTCATTCTTCTTGTGGCTGAATAATATTCCATTGTATGGATACACCACATTTTGTTTACCCATTCATCAGTTGATGAATATTTGGGTTATTTCCACTTTTTGGCCGTTATGAATAAAGCTGTTATAAACACTTGTGTACAAGTTTTTGTGTGAACGTGTATTTTCAATTCTCTTGAGTATATGCCCAGGAGTAGAATTGTTGGGTAATTGTATAGTAATCCCGTGTGTAACATTTGAGGAAATGCCAGTCTGTTTTCCAAAGCGGCTGTTTCATTTCACATTCCTACCAGCAATGAGGGCTCCAATTTCTCCACATCCTCGCCAGCACTTGTTATTGTCTTTTTTATTATGGCCATGCTAGGGAGATAAAATGGTATCTCATTGTGGTTTTGACTTGCATTTCCCTAATGACTAATGATGTAGAACCTGTTTTCATGAAGTTTTTGGCTATTGTATATCTTCTAACTTTAGAGAAATGTCTATTCAAATCCTTTGACCATTTTAAAATTAGATTGTATTTTTATTGTTCAGTTATAAGAGTTCTTTATATATTCTCGATATTAGACACTGTGATATTGTGATTTAATTAAGAAATATATATATTTGGTCTTTGTCTTGTTTCTGGCACCGAGCTCCTAAAACCCTTGGAATTTCCTAAATGAAAGAGCAATAAATGTGTCTTGATATTCATAACAAACCCCTTCAACCACACCTAAGTTTATGTGAATGAGGTGACTTTTGGAAAACACTAGGGAGGGGGGCTGGTTGCTAAGGGAACCAACCATGTGATTGGAGGGTTGGAACTTTCAGTCCTCCCCCCACACCTTTAGAGGGAGAGGGGCTGCAGGTTCTATCAATTGCCAGTGGCCAATGATTTAATCAATCATGCCTACGTAGTGAAGCCTCCTAAAAACTCAAAAAGATGGGTTCCAAGAGCTTCCAGGTTGGCGAACACATGAAGATTTGGGGAGAGTGGTGTGCTCAGAGAGCACGGAAACTCTAAGCCCCTTCCCACATGCCTTGCTCTAGGCATCATTTCCATCTGGCTGTTCCTGAGTTATAGTCTTTTGTAA